TGAAAAAATTTCGAAAATTAGCGATTTTTAAATTTGTAATTTTTTTGGATATTTCCCCCATTTGCGGGGAACGAGGGAATTTTTTTCAATTTTTAAGGGTAATGTCTTCAACTAGATACGATTTGTGATCTTTTGACGTATTTTTGAAAGAAATTGGTCCAGTGAGAGCTGAGAAAAAGTGGCAACAGACATAAAAAAAAAAAAAACACATCATAGTAAAATTAATACCTTCTCCGCTTCGCATCGAAGCTAATAACTATAATTGATTTTTTATTATTATATAAAATGTATCTTTCATATCATTTATAGAAATAAGTCAAAAAAAATTTGTTACAATACACAATAAATTAAAATTTAGAATACAGAGAAATATCCATTGTGGATAATATGAACAGTTCAATCAATTATCAAAAACATTCAATGATAGAAATGACGACACTTAGCCAAAATCAAAGAGAAATTTCTATATTAGAACGCGAATTTCATTCTAAAACTGAATTAATGAACAACGGAAGTAATTTTACTAGTGTAGAAACGCAAACAGAATTCGTTCACTGTGTAGAGTTTAATCGTCTAAAGTAATATAAATTCATATTATTTATTATTTTTTCTTAATTTATTCCATATAGAATGAAAATTTTGAAATGGAAGAGGAATCAAATTGTTTCCAGCCATTATCACGAAGACCATCATATATTGTATGTAAAAAAACTTTTTTGACCTTTTTTTTCTTTTGAGATCTTTAAAAGTACGGCCAACAGAAATTATATTTAAACAAAAATTGAATATAGGCATTGGACAGTAAAATATCTAATTTATTGGATTTATCGAAGAAATCTAGTCAACATTTGCAAAAACTTAGTTCTATAATTATCGAAAAAACATCATCTATTCAGGATAAGGTTATTATTAAAATGTGTAGACTTTTTTTTACTTATTTAATTTCATTAAGCCAATTAATTACGAATATTTTATGGAAAGCAATATATACAATGACACAATAATCTTTTTGCATAATTATAATAGTACTGAAAATTATTTCAAAAATAAATAATATAACAAAGAAAAAACAAACAGTTTTGTACTCTCATAAATTTTCTTTTGAAAGGTAAAAAATTCAGTTTTATGTTTAATGAATCAATGAATTTAATTTGAAGGTCCAAAAACATATATTCAACTAAATAAATTAGTCTAAAATTCTGTACTTTAAAATTATAAAATTTTACAATACAATAACCTTTTTAAATATCATTTAAAAAGTTAAATGAAAAATAATTCTATCACTATTATATGTACCTCAAATGAGCCAGATTTCTTTACTTAATTTTTGTTAGCAAATGTATGTGTTTCTTAATCATTCTTGTAAAGATTTTCTAATTTTCTAGATAGATACAACTAAAATGTTTATATATATTTAATTACTCAAGTTAGTTCATTTGACGTCAATTAAAATATTCTATCATTTTTTTTTTTTTGTAGAGAGACATTATTTATTTTGAAAGTAATCAAGTGGTTTATGATTAATAGGAACACACACACACTTTCTCTTTCACACTATATATATATATATATATAGTATATTAAAAAATAAAAATGTAAATAAGATAATAAAAAATAATTTAAATTATTTTAGATTGACCACAATAAACAAAATATTTGTCAAAGTTTGTCATCTTTGCAGTTATTATCTAAAAATACTCTAGAGACAAGCAAGTGTGAACAAGGTAACTGAGAGAACTTCAATACCACTATTCTTTCAATAATATTTCCTTTTATTTTAACAATAAACCAGATTGTATTGTGTCCACTGATTTACACAATCAAACCTCTTACTATGATTTAATATCACAACAAGAACAAGAGTTAAGGAACATCCCATTAACAAAGGAATACAAAAGCTTAGATTCAATTAAGAAATTTGAAAATTCAATTACTGCTACGTCAACTTTGAATCAAAAGCAATCAAAACATTCAGCAGTAGACATAATTAAAAGTTGCGCTCTCGACAACCAATCTATTATAGACCATTGGGTTCTTCCTGTTCAAAAATTCCGTTCTATGGCTATACAAACAGAATCAATTCATTTTACAGAATTTGTTACCCCAAAAATAAGAAATGAAGTTCAAAATCAGAGTCAACTAACGTGCAATTGTGTGGATAGCAATTACAACTGTAATGGTTGCTTAAGGAGACTTGATTATTATGATGTATCTCAAATTAAACTTTCGAGTGTCTGTTTTAAACAATTATTGTCGAAAGTAAAAAAACAATTAGAGGATTTGAACAATGATAATAGTTCGTCAACTCAATTCTCTAATGATAATTTTTGTGATTTACCTTATAATGGTTTATTTTTGGTGAGCTCATTAAAAATAGCTTATTACTTTTAAAAGTTAATTAATTTTTTAACCATTTTTAGATTAATGAGAGAAAGATTTCTTATGGGTCAGATATTAACAAAAAAATTATAGATTTTTTTAAACAAACGGTAAAAATAAAAATATAAAATTGATATATATTCGTCAAAATATTACACTGATTTTTTTAGACAAGATATTTAATGAAAAAAGAAGAGAAAAATATAAAACAAATTTTCTCGATTCTGTCTTTAAAAGAAAACACAATGAATGAACGTCTTAATTTCGCACTTGTTATGCGTGGTTTATACTTAGAGTAATTATCCAATGTTTTTATGTTTCTAATCTAGTTTTGATACACAGTATATTTTTACAGTCTTTTTAAGGGTAAACCAGACTACGAAATACAAATTGAAATGTACGAGGATAATATTGAAAATATAAAAAAAGTAATTCATAATATTAAAATATTACGTGAAACTGCTACAGACATGTATAATGAAAGAATTATAAAACTAAATGAAGATTTACAAGAGAACAACAAAAATTCTAAGGCAATAGACTAAATATTTAAAAAAAAAAAAATAGGAATTAAATTACTCAAATTTTGAATTTGGGGAAAATGTTATTTTTATTTTGTTCTACGATCATATACATTTTTATTCACATATTTTCTATATATACATATATTCATTTTTTTTTTAATATGATAAATTATTACAATAAATTATTCAATTAGATTATACTTATTTAATATTTATGAACTTAGTTCTTTTATAATTTTAAGTTTTAACAATATTTACCGTTATATTTTTTGTCGAATATATAATATTTATTATAATATTAATACTTATTCTAGAAAAATATTCATTGAAATTAATTATAGTTTTTTATTTCACACTAACATGACATAGATTTATCAAAACTGCCTGATACGCCAGCGAATTATATGAAATTCTTTATATCACCATTAAATGAACAATTTAAGTTTTTTATTTTTAAAATTCCCCCCAAAAAATATAAAAATCATTTATAATTAACCTAAATTTTATTTTAAACTTTAATTTTATGTTGAAAATCAAAATTTTCCATTGAGCAGATAGAAAATGTTTTATCTCATAATTTATGATTTTCTAGAGTGACTAAACTTTTAAAATAAAAAAATTATTTTTGTTATAAATACTATTTACAATTTGCTGCAATTAAAAATTAAAAAAACAAATAAAAATGTTTTAAAATGCAAATTAGATTAAAATTGATATGCTTTTATTATTATTATTAGACTCTATCATCTTATGGCTTATATTAAACCAATTTTGATGATTTATACAAGGAGATTCTTTTAATTCTAACTACATAATTTCTCTTAAAAAAATAAGTTCTTACCAAAAGTTTTGTTTAGATTTTGTTAGTTATTAGTTATATGTATATTTTCATTTATCTGTTATACAATAATAATTTTTTTTCCTTATACCTTATTGTGGTGTCAACTGTACTTTTCTAAATGGCATCATATGAATAATTTAGCTTATTTAATAGAAAGTAATCTAATTAAGAAAATGATTTTTGGATCAGTGCTTCGGAAGATATTCACATTTTAATTTCTAGGCGGCAAGAGGATTGCTGCCGAGAAATGACTAACGATAAAAATTGTAGCATCCGTTCTTCACCTCCAGTCTAAATTTAAAATAGTTAATAATTTTCAAAATATTAATATTTAATATTTGAAGTGTTATTTTATATATTTATTTAACGAGTAAAAACCTTATGTAAATACCTACCCAGTGGGTAGGTCGAATAAACCCGCGTCTAATCTTTTAACATAGCTAGCTCTAGGCTTGGGTCTAAAAAATGTATTATTCTCAAATGAAAATTAAAATAAAAATTTTTAAAACGCCTCTAGAGTGGCCTCATTTTGGTACAGACTTATAATAAATAAAACTGGGACTGCTTTAGACTTTAATTCTGGTCACGCCTTTGGTTTGAAACCCCCTTGTAAACAAAAAATTGTGCTAACATTTTTTTTTGTTCAATATTAAAAAAGGTTCTAGAAAGACTATATTCTATTAGCCTATACACAAATTAAAGTTTTTAAAGCGAACTTGACAGTAAAAAAAAATTTCCATAATTATTCTTTAATAATAAGTTTGTCGTTGAAGTAAAATAACTTTTTTTCGGTAGAATTAGCAAATTGGAATTAACTTACTGGATTATTATTATACTGTGGATGAATTAAGGTAATCAGATAAATAAGTTGTAATACAAATAAAGAATTTTTATATATAATTGAACTTATATGGAATATTGTCCTAAGTAAAACAACTTTGAAATAAAAAAAACCCGTAACCCAAAGCTACAAACACAAATATATTTATAACACATTCCATATATTATTATTATAATGTTCATACTATATTTAATATGTCAGCTACCTTTCATTACGATCAACATAAAATGAAAATAATGTAATATAACATAATAAAACAATATAAATAAGATAAAAATCTTCCATTTTCATTAAGAAACAAGAACAGTTTTAAAATAAGTTTGAAAAAAAAAATGAGCAGGATGTTTTTATTATTATTTTTTTAGTTTTGTACTTTTAATCAAAAGTTCGATTATTTTATTCGTAGTATCTATAACCTTACATCAATACCGCTCCTTTTCAAAAAATTATAACACATCAAATTTACCTTCAGTTAATGTTCTAAATAAATTGAATTCCTTGGTTGTATGAAGATAATAATCAAGTTATCGTAAAAAATATAATTTTATTAATTGAACCACTTCATATTTGGTATTATGATTTTAGTAATTCATAGAATAGAATATTAATAAATAAATAGAATTTTTAGAAGGCCAGTTTTAATTGCTACATTTTCTCTTTTTAAAGCATGTTTCATTATACTTTGAAGAGGCTGAAGTTCGTGTTTTTTACAAAATATTAATATTTAAACTTTAAAAAATGATTATAAAATCAATAGAAAAGTAATAATTTATCTTGTATAATAAACTTATAAATGAAATTCTAATACATTGTATTATGTAAATATTAGATTTGTTTTTTCCTCACAATAAAATGTTATAAGTTACATTGAATTAATGTTTTCAAACATAATAGTTTTTGTATCTGAATGTATCTTAGATGAAAGATACTCATCCATTTTTAGTTTTTATTTATATTGTATCAGTATTTTAAATTATATTGGATGAAATTTTATTTTACCTACAAACAAACATATTAAACTATACTTTATAGAACTATAAAAATATTCTATGCTATTTCCGAAATTTATAGTTTATCTACAGTTCCTGCGGTCATCGACAGCTCGCCGAATTTGTTACGGTAGGCTTTTATCGGATATTTAAAAGCGTGGAATTAAAAGTTAAAACTAATAATCAACTGTTGTAGGCGATGATTTGAACATCTTTATTCAATAGATCTAATATTATTGTCTTTCATTATAGTTTTTTCTTTTTTTTTTACATAAAATGCACTCACATGTAAACATACATACATACATGCCAGAATCGTAATTCGATGATTGTATAATGTAACCTGTTTGTCACCACTGTCTCTTCATCCATTGATGACTTAAAACTTATACTTTTATTTGCTTACTATTGTCAATAATACTTAATACAAAAATAGTGAGATTATCATGTAAATATGAAGTAATTGTTGATAGTATTTTATAACCTTTATAACGCTATGATTTTTATAACTCTTACTTTGTTGGCAGCTATTGCAATAATTTGTATATATTTTTTTTTTTATAAATATTGAAAATATCAAATAAAACGTTTGGTTTTATTTGGTTCTCTATACATTTTTAATATTGTCTGTTTTTCTAATTAATGTTTAAATATTTTAATATCTTTTCATAAAATATTTTTAATCAACTTTTATAACTATGTTAATTTTAAAATTGTGTTAAAAAATCTTTTTTGGTATTATAAGCTTGAATTCTATTAATAATATTTTAATGGTTATAATTAATTTATGAATTCACATGGCAAATAAAGTCGTGTTTGAAGTTTATATATGAGTAATTATGTATCAATAATGTTCTTTATTTATAATATAAAGAAACTCATATTGTTATTGGTATTTTAGTATGACTGTAACTACTCATCAAGTAAGACAAATTTGTTTTTATTAACATTTTAAACAATTTCTTAGTTGAATATCTATTATATTTAAATATAAAATATGTTATCATTATTTTTAATCAATTAAAAATTATAAAGGTTTTCTATATTTGAACCTGAATATTTTCAAAAAACTCTTTATCTTTATCGTATTTTTTTTCGTTTATTTATTCTAACACTGACAATAATAATAATCAATTTTTAGTTTTAGTTTTTCAATTATATAAATAATAATTATTTATGTAATTATTACACTATTTTTTTACTTATTTAAATGTTGACTTCAACCTAATATATTAATAAATTTAATGAAGATATTACCTATGAGTAATTCTTGTTGTGCATATTTAATTATCTAAGTATTTAGCTAGAGTATTTCATAGAGTAAATGAAAATGAAAAAGATTTCGGAAAAGTTATTCTTATTCCTCGTTTGTTAAAAATATATGTTATTTTGCAATTAATATAATTTTATTAATTCTTTCATTAGTCTTACAGACACGATCTGAGAAAAAGGAGCAAACACGTTTATGATTCAAATAGTAAATCAAAAATTTACAATGACATTTTTCAAACTTCACAAAATTATAACAATGTTTAAAGAGATTTTCGAAAAGCTTTTAGTATTTTGTTCACTGACTCAAGTCTAAAAAATTCATCAGTCTCATTCTTATGAATACAGGTTACTCTGTTGAAATATTACAAATATCGGGAAACCATATAAAGTGTTTTTGAAAGTATGCTACTGAAAAATGTATCCACTTGATTGCACACATGGTATTTACGCATTATTTTCTATCAAAGTAGCTAACAAATAACTTAGTCATTTTTATTAAGATTACAAAAATAATTTTTAAAATTAATTTTTATATGTGATATTAAATTCGGGGAGTTTTTTTAATTAATAAACAATTAATGACGATAATGTTTAAAAAAACTACCCTAGTACTCTATTATTCAGTTTTATGTAGTTTATGTTTGCCGCTCAAAACTGTTAAGTAGTATTCTAGACGTGGGTAATAATAATTATGGGCGTAGGATAGTTTGTTCATATTTTACCGTGACAAGTTTGTCGAGTGCCACTGCTGTCTTTTTATGCAGTGCGCTAATGGAACTCAAAATAATGGTAATTACAAAATAAATATCACTTAGAAGTCGGGCTAAAATGGATGAAAGCGATAAAAAGTTTTCCAAAAATATCATTAATGCTGGTAAGCCTTGAATTATATAGGCAACTAAATAAAAGTAACATTCATAACATTTTATAAGACAGTATTATGATAAAAAATTATGAGAGTATAGAAAACTTTGAATATTTATTGTAATTCAGTAATACTAATCTAGATTGGTATTCGTTAAGAATAGGGTAAAACGTTTACAACTGGGTAATTTTATCCAAATTTATTATTATTATTTTACTTTCAAAGTTAATTGTTCATACATTTGGGATAATATACAATCGTATAAAAAATATTATTTTTTGTGCGAA